TAATTAGGCACATCTGCTACTACCTTAATACAGGTCAATTTTGCTTTCACATTCAAAACTACGTCATTCAGTGCTTATGTGAGACACTTAACCAGTGAAACATCTGAGTGACAGCTATTGTATGTGTACGCATTAATCATTGTACGATGTGGACGATTGCGAAGCGTGATACTACAAGACTGAACTACATCAACTCTTAGTTTAAAGATGAGGAGTTAAGTGGTGGAGCATACGCTTGACCACTTGACGTATTGAAAAAGCTGAATCAGTCTCAATGGGTTGATTGCTGATGAAATCTCAGTACGGATACAACAGCTTCATGTGACATTTTCCAACTTACGTCATCTACAGTGTAGACATGATATTCGTCTGGTTATCGATCAAAGGACGCTTGTGCTGCTCACTGGTTCGCTCTGTCTTCCTTTATGGCTGTGAGATAAGGCCATTGAAAGTGGAAGCTATGAAAAGACTGGCTAGCTGTCTTTGATCATAGGTGTTTGCGTTCTATCTCCCGTGTAAGGTTAGTTAAACTATCAGTCCTAATCAGGTAATCATAGCTGACTCCCCATAGATAGTATGGTAATGCCTAGCCATCTCCTTCCTCCACGGAAAGTGCGAGCTGACTTAAGATCAGGTTGGAAAAGAGCTAGTGGTGGTCAAACCGAAACATGGAATCAGTCCATCAAATCTCTGACAATCAGTTTGAGCTAACCACGTAGGTAGGTGTGGACTAAGTGGTTGGGATGCTCGGAATTCTAAGAATCAATAGGTGGCGATAACTGGTGGCATGGCTCAAACATGTTCACAACTGCTCAGATGCATTCACTGTTTGTGAACTTTGACATTCATTAAACCGTCATGCTTTTCCATGTTACTATTCTTTCTTGCTAACGTTTCTGTTTGTTGTGATTCTTTTGAATATCTATTTTTCCCTCTGTTCTGTCTTCTTTTGTATGGTACATGAAGTGTGGTAACCCACCTATCGTTGTTTGTGGACAACCAGGTATTATGAATAGCCATCATACAATACGTATTGTTATTTGCTAACTGCATAAAGATGCAGGTGATTGTTGAGTAGCATTTTTAATTGCAATTACTATACAGATTAATTTCGTTAAGATTCTGTATTTATTTATTTATTTTTCCTTTAGCTAATTTTATATTACTGGTTGATTTGTTATTATGTAGTATAATTGAATACGCTTTCTTTTGTAAAGTCGCCTTTTGAAATAAGAATCTTTTTGTTTGTTATATATCATATAATATGATGCTAGGCAACCGTGGTTGTTTGTGCAGGTAAAATTCCTTCTGTAATCATCTGACAATTCCTGTTTGCCTTAAAGATATATGCATATAAACTTTTAGTTAGTTTTCCGTTTTCTTTCTAGATTTTCTATATAATGTTCTCATCAGTATTCCTGGGTGAGCATTAGGAATATTTGTACTAGTATTAGTTATAGTAATAGTAGCGCCAACTATTAGCCACAATGCCCACTGTTACTACAGTAAATTCAGTAGATTGTTCACTGTTTTCAGAAAAAAAGTTATTCTTCATGTCTTCTGATAATCTCACTTTCTTTCTTACTCTTTCTAAATATGTGTTGCTGAAATGATTCTGGTTTTGTGATCAGTTTAGGTAGAATAGACAGTTATCGAGCTTAAGATACCTTTTTATTAACTCATATGTATATATATTGCCTTGGGTTCCGAGTGGAATGTACGGCTTCAATAGCCCAGCCTGCCCATTTTACCCTGTTCTCTGCAATCCTCTTCCACTGGCTCAACCCTTGTCTGTAGGCTGTCATCTCCTCACACGATCTCCTCCATGTCATCCTCGGGCACATGCCCAACTCGTCTTGCCATTCAGGTTCCACTCGAGCAATTATCCGACTGGTGTGTGATGTCATTCAGCAGTCTCCCCAGCGTGCTTCCTATCCATCTTCATTTCCTTCAGAATATTCGATGGGCATTGATTGTTGGTCGGTTCATTTCCAGATTTTCTTGCTGTTAATCCTTTCTATTCGGTAATCTGATCTTCAGAATGGAGCCAGTGAAGACAGCTGTTGATAAAAGTCTGAACCTATTTGGAATGCTTTTCGTGACACGCTCGTCAAGTCTCTGAAACGTATAGAAGAACTGACTGACTTGACATTAGTGTTGAAAATCGGGATCTTGTGCATTTTACTGATTGCAGCAGATTTCCACACTGATTTCAGAGCTATGAATGTCTGTCTTGCTTTTCTGATCCTGCCTTTGACGTTCTCATCCGTGTCGCCTGTAGTTCAAAGAATACATCCCATATATATATACATAATATCCCCTGTATACTGGTAGTTGTAACACCTATGTCGTGATTATATTGACTGTTTCGCAGAATATAATTTCAAAATCATATCTACATGGCTATCCGTCTTTCTTTCCCACAACCTAAGTTTATGGACAGAACAATTTTAACACACTTGCAAATGTTTCATGATTTCAATTGACAGAAGACTCCAAATTTAACAGTGCTCAGAAATTACGCTTATATAGCTTATATATATATATATCGTAGACGTCTAAACAAAAATAAATGCCTGGATTTAGTATCAAAAGAGTTACGTAAGAAAGACAAGCGGTGAATAAAATGATGAGTAACTCATCAACTGAGTAACAATACGGAGAGTTCAAATCGAATCATAGAAACATGAGACAAGCAAAGTTACACTACATCAAAGGGGGAGGGGTTAGAACCAAAGATTACGTAATCGAATGAGACAGTAAAGACTTCGAGTTGCCAGGCCTAGGAATGACTGAACACATAAATAGGACGTTAGGCGTTTGGTAGTATTTGTTTTGGGAAACTTGAGTAGGATTCAACGATTTCGTCTATCGATAATTTTAAAGGAATTCGTGATGTCCACCTCATGGCCCATATTGATGAAATGTCTGGTGATAGCGCTGTTGCAAGCGTTTGCTTCCTTGAGATACAGGCTTTTAGGTATATGTTGAGAAAATCGAAGATGTGCCCTTCTTTTTGCTCTCCCAATATAACTTCTATCACAGATGCATGTAGATCTGTTTACACAGAGTCATCATGAGAAGGGTGTCTGCTGAGTTTTGATTGCACCAAAGAGTATGTTGTCCGATAAGCGGGAGCCAACTTAGCTGGAGGATAGGTTCTGGCTAGTAACATGTTCAATCTTCTGCTGACTATCCCGTCAAAATCGAGCTGAATGAAGATAGGCATTTTTTTTCCCACTGTGATTTGTTTACCGTCATATCTTTCGTACTTATTGGTGAATTTCTATAAATAACCGTTGTTTTTCAACACCTTTTCGAGGATCAGAAATTCTTTTTCTAATTTTTCTTTAGAACGTAATCCCCTGACTCCATAGAATAGATTTTTGACCAGTGTCCGTTTGTAGCTATTTGGACAAAAACTATTAAATTATGAGCATTGTTCATTCCATGTAGGTTTTCGGTAAATTGACCTCTGGAGATTACCATCTTCCAGACACTGCATGGTGATGTCAAGGAAATGAAACTTTTCGTTGGGATTACCGTGCTAAGCGCGTCGGTCGTATAGCGGTTAGGACGCCCGACGAGTATGCACATGGTCCGGGGTTCGATCCCCGGCCGACGCACTCCTTTACTTCGCTGAGCCAGAAATAATTCTGGTAAAGAGGAAGGGTTGGGCATGAGGCTATCAACCCCATCCTGTAAAATAAACACTGCTACAGAAACTTCAAGTCTCTAGGTTGAAGCCCTATGTTCCACTGGGGAACGTGAAGGAAAAAAAAACTGTGCTAAGCATTATAAGTAGAAATACGTATGATGAATATGAAACTATGCTGTAACATCTGGTGGAAGTTCTATTCTTATAGTAATAGTATTTCTTTTTTAATTAATCGAAATCTTTTCATTGTTAATGTTCGTTATGACACTTTTGTAAATTCCTTCGACTTGTCATTCATTTCCAGGAACACTTATCGTTTAATGCGAACATTTTCATAGGTACCTCAGTCGATAGAGAGAATAGAAAACCAAATTGAAATCATTTACAGTTGTCTATTGATTTAACTTATCAAATCTCATATTATAGTAGCAATGGCTGTTAATTTACATTTCATTTTCTTTTATCTTCATATTTTAAGTGCATTAAATAATGTCATATGAAAAACTTGGGTTTCTTTGTTAAATTATCATTGAATTCTCCTCCTTTCTTGTCTGGCGTAAAATGCAGATAGTAGACGCTTAGACGTGTATATTTTGTACACATTCCTTCATACTTCACGAGAACAGAATTGATGCATCAGAAGGATGTGAGTGAGTAATGTTGAGGAGATGAAGACATCTTGTATTCCTTCACTTTCAGCAGTTTCGTAGATGGACATGAGGCTAAAATATGACTGAACAAGTAGATGTAGTCTACTATGTCTGTTGTCTATTGTGTTTTCGCTGTTATTTTTACTTCTTGACTTTTTAAATTAGCTGGTAAGATATGATACATTATGTCACACTTGTTGTTTGAACTTCATGTATTTTTTTCCCCACGATTTGTGCGAGGATTGAGAGGGTGCCTGGATGCCCAGAATGAGGCCACTCATCAAACCTTTTACTTGAAGTTTGATCCAGAGGGTAGTAGAGTAGAGTCAGGAGCTCAGTTCCCATGGTTTCCAGTAACTAAATCAGGTTTGTATCTCATTTGTTTTTTTTTCACTGGAATTCTGGAGCCCATGTGCATCACATTTTAGGAACCAGGATTTTCTGGGTGTCCCAGTTAGACTTCCATGTCCATGTCAAGCGAGATTCGAATGCGTACCCATGTTGTAGCTGAAAACGAAAAGCTAAAATCAATTATTCACTATCTTATTTATGTGTAAAGTAAATAGCTAGTGGTAAAGTAAAAGAAATTATTTATCCTAGTTGTATTATCTTACTGATACTTTTTTCATTTAAAAAAAGTTTTGTCTGGAATTAATACTTTATTTCTTTCATATTTATTCTTTTTTTTGTAGACCAAAAGAGAATTTAAGCAATTGTTTAATTGAACCGCCTGATTATATTGATCTGCCAGAAACAGATTCAAAAGCAAGAGATTATTCCCTTACAAATTGTACATTGATCGGTGACTCGCATAATAATCATATATTAAATACCTCGATGGCAAATCAAGAACAACATACATCTAAGCCTATCACTAATACAATAAATACACTGACTAATCCATTAGACATTTTACATTCATTAAATTTGGATACTGTCTCGTCCTCGTGTCCATCATCCACATCGTCTCCACCACAATTACCAATCTCATCATTATCTATGACATCAACAGTAACTGGCGTGACTACAACAGGAATAGTGGGTGTAGATTCCATCCCATCAACATTATCATCCATAGCCAGTGGTTCTTCAAAATTGAATTATTCTACCTCATCTCCACATTACCAATTAGCCTCTTGGGATACTTCATCTGCATATCCTGTTGGTAAGTTGAATATATTTAATATATTTAATCTGTATGCGTTGTTGTTATGCGTCTCTATGGGTTTGTCTGTGTGTGTGGATGCCCGCGATTAAAGGAGTCGTAATGGTATTCATCTTGATCGTTTTTTATGCACAAGAAGATATTAACGTTCTTTTAGGCTGAAATGTAACAGCATCGGCCTAGAGCTGCCAAAAGTAGAACTCTGCTCTTTAGATGAATAGCCAGCCGAGTTTTGGAAATTTATTAGACAGTTTGAACTTTATTTGGTCTCCAAGGTGAAGGATGATGGGCGATGTCTCTTAAACTTGTTCTATATTAGACAAGTTTATCTCAAATATCACACAGTGTTGCAGTAATAATATCTGGATACTTATATTTGTTGCATTATTATAATGGCAAGGCCAGTGAGGTCATCGAAGAGTGCACCATGCTCCCTTCCTCGTCGGGTTTTCAATGAGCAGGCAATATATTAACGCGGCTTTCTGAAAAAATTCATGGAGTGAGCACAACATTGATTCAGGAGTTGATGGAGTACTCGAAGACAAAGCATGGTAACACTTAAACCATAAAAATGAAGAACTCTCGAGTAGAGGAATTACTCCGTAGATTTTTCCCAAATAACTGTCTTTTTGCTGTCGTTGGGGCATTTCGTGACTGCTCATGACTCAAGGAAGTTCAGGCTAGATAGAACGCATAGATTGGTTTCCTGCGTTCAGACCATAACAAGTCGGTTTTGGCGTGGGATCATGCTCATGTCACCTCCATAGAAAAAAGAATTAGGCTGCATCATTAGTCTGAGTTCCAGTGGTCTACGAGCTCGCCTTGTGACTGGAATATCCTGTGACCGAATGACTGGTTTCAACGTAGAACTATGCAAAAATGTGCAGCAGTTCGAGTTACCACACTCCAAGTAGCACACAAAGCGAGAGAATACAGTGAAGATAGTTTCAAAAGAGATATAACAGACAGAAATATGAGGCAAACAGAATAGTAATATGGAAGAACAATAGAGTTTCGTTGGATATGAAAAATCACAAAGAGTGGATGCATCTGCGCCACTGAGAACAATTTTGAGCCATATCACCAACTATCTGCAGTCATTGGTTTTTCCCATCCTGAGGGCCCCAATTAGCCAAGAAGTCTACACCTTTCTACGTGATTGTCTTAAACTAACTGTTATGGATTTCATTGACTGTTTTGGTTGGACCACCACTAGCTCTTTTCTAACCTGATTCTGTCAGCCAACATTGCCCGTTGAGGAAGGCGATGGATGGCTAGGCATGCGTAACACACATATCTTAACCATCTCACTCGATGTTACTTCATAACCTCATCTACTTATTTCCCCTCCTTACCTAGCACTCGACTCAACAGTCCGCTCCGTCCTCCTTTATGGCTGTGAGACATGGCCGTTGAGAGTGGAAGACATGAAAAGATTATCTTTGTTCTATCATAGGTGTCTGCGTTCTATCTCCCGCGTGAAGTGGTATAATAAGGTGAGCAATATTGAGGTTAGGCGTTGAGTGCTAGGTAAGGCGGGGAAATCAGTCGACAAAACTGTGAAATTACATCGACTGAGATGATTAGGACATGTGTTACGTATGCCTAGTCATCGCCTTCCTCAACAATGGGCAATGTTAGCTGATATAGGGTCAGGCTGGAAAAGAGTTAGCAGTGGTCAAACTAAAAAATGGCACCAGCCAATGAAATCTACAACAGTTAGTCTAAGCCAAGTAGGAAGGTGTAGACTTCCTGACTGGTTGGGGTCGTCGGGACGGTAAAAACCAATGGTTGGAAACAATTGGTGACATGGCTCAAAATCGTTGTCAATGGCCGGTGCAGATGCATCCACTCCTTGTGACTTATGATTTCCGATGAAACTGTTTTGTTCTTCGTTATTACTATTCTTTTGTCTCACACCTCTGTTTACTGACTATATTATGCATTTCTTCTACTTCCTTCTCTTGCTTTGTGTGCTACAAGGAGGGAGTGTGGCGACTTGAACTGCCGCACATCAGCGCAAAGTTCTATGTCGAAAACTGACCGACCGACTCGACGTCTAACCTCAATATTGCACACCCTATTATATTACCTAACACGGCAGATAGAACAAAGGCAATGTGCCGTGTTCGAACCCCAGAGGGAGCGTACTACTGAACAGTCCCAAACTAGGACGAAACAGCTGTCCAGTACTCCCAGAATTTCCAAAGTTTCTCTAGCTGATGTCAACTCGTGATCAGTCCTGTAACCAATCAGATCCTTGCTAACCAACACTTGATAATTACAAAGTTAGTTGAAATGTCCAACTATAAGTATAAATATTGTGATTAGATTGTTCAAGAGGGAATCTCCAAATAATTTTTTTTCGTTACACATAGCCCGGTGCCTAGTAACTGATTTCTAACTAACTAGCTGTGTTCATGATATTGTTTTCTGTATAATTTCACGCTCACTGAGAATGGAATTATAAAAGAGTTAGTATATGCTTTAAGTGTTGACAAATAAAAGTTCGCCACTATGCTTCCCCCCCCCCCCCGGAGTTCGTTATCTCCGTTTTCTCACTGTTCTTAAAATTCCATTTCTCAATACTTAAGTAAAGTATATAAACAGTATATTGATTTATAGTTTTAGCTTACAGTTGTCCATATTTTCTTTTACTAAAGTCAGTAAAAATACTGATGTACTAATCCCATATGTGCATGTTGTATAACATTATTCATTGACATAAATGAATATATGCCCACACACACACACACCAATGAAAGTCATATTATCTATCCTTTAGTGTTTTGTGAGTATCACTATTCTACCGTGTATATTGCATTTCCTTCTTTTTTTTCTCCGCCCACATTGCGTAACATTATCTTATTGATCAATTGACTTGAGGTTAGAAAACAAAAGAGAAGAGCAAACAATAGAAGTAGAGTGAAATGCTTTCATCATTCATCTTTCCTTTGCAAGTATAAGAATATAGTGATGAATATCCATTGTAAATGTCAATAGTTCAGTGTTAGACTGCTCATCACTAGGCATACAGGAGGCCCGGAGTCAATTCCACCAATATTACGTGAGAGCTGATGATATTATTGAGAGTTGCCTGGTTTGAAGTCGATGTAGTGGAAATCGAATTCAGAGCCCATTAGCTGAAGGTTGAATACTTAAGCCAGTGGGCCAAATCTCCCGTCGATGGTGAAATGCATAGCAATAACTAACCACTGAGAAGAAAGCTTATGGAACTGAATAGGAAATTATAGTACAATTGGACTTTTAAAGCACGGTAATGTATATTTATCAATATTCTGTTTTCCACGTAAATATTAGCTATCAAAGCATGATTAACAAGTTAAAGTGGATATTTTGTTGATATGGTTGTATCATCAAACTCATCAACTGATATTATTCGCCTTAATAATTCACATCTAAACTCTTCGTCACATTTTTATACTATTAAGAAGGTAACTGTTGTCAAATATTTCTATTCGTCAAAAACCATCACACTTAGTAGTCATTTGTTATGGTAAACGATATTATTATGTAACAGATTTGACTTTTAAGTAGGCAGTCATATGTCTCTTTGTCGCCCACTTGGTTTAACTTCCCAAATGGAATGGTAAGTTGGTGCGTCGGTGGCACAGTGGTTAGGACTCTCGCCGACCATGCACATGGTCTGGGGTTCGATCTCCTGCCGACGCACACCCGATATCTATGGTCGGCTTGTAAATTTGGGCTACCGATATTCATGCTGAAAATTCCATACCTGTACTGAAAATACGGTGTGGAATCAAGCTGTAATCAAAATAAAAAAAATAAAAAAATTATTAGTCACTTCGTCTTCTCCCATCATCAACAGTTCCAATACACGTGGTGTGAAAGCCGTTCTGAAATATCATTTTGAGCTTAAGAAATAAGGATGTCACGTTTTTGACCAATGTCTTCACAATTAGATTAGAAAATTTTTTCCTCTCTGTGTATTTTTAGTGTAAAATACACCAATGAAACATTATTTATTATCCAGAAAATAATACTGTATCATATTATGAGCTTCACTAAATAAACAAACTAAAACTGGATAATACTTTATCACAGTGTCCAAGTCCTTCTTTCATATCAGAGTTTGAAACCTATTCATTGTTCTCGAGTTCATTGCTTCAAAGCTCCCTTCGTGTGTATCAGCTGCTGTTCTCCACCTCTGTGTAAACTATATATCACTTTACATTTAAGTCTCATCAACTCTTCAGTGTACTTGCAGTCTATTAGAAGTCCATTTTCATACACTCCTCAAACACTATGAACCTCTAATCTTTTATAATATTTTCATAAATGTAAATTGCAATATCTTATATCTTTTTATAACAAACTAAGACTGTTGACATTAGATGGTTGGAGGCAGTCGGCATGAAGCCTTGCCTGACCTAGGTTTCGTGATAGTTGACACTCGTCAGTAATGCTTATCTGCAGCCTTGAAGGAACTCATGTTCCTTCTGAGATTCTAACCCGCGTCACTCAGTTCTGCAGTCAGAGACGTTACCAGAGATCTATTCAGGCTCGCGAATCACCTGCTGTAGGACTGTATTGGATACTTTCATTGGAGACTAGTTAGTAACGTCCTGACTGTGCACTGGGTGACGTGGGTTCGAATCTCAGAAGGGACATGAGCTCCTTCAAGGTGACTGCAGATACGCCTTGGTGACTAATGAGTGCCGACATGCATGAAACCTAGGTTTAGCCAAGACATCCTGTCGATTGTCTCCAACTATCTAATGTCAACACTACAAAGTGCACCGTGATGGCGAGCCACCTAGCATGGTGGCCACATTGCAAACGTGACTCATAGAATTCAGTCTGCATCAAACAAAAGACTAGACACATTACACTAGTTACTAACTAGTGTCCAATCATAATAAGACGGTGTTAAGTTTGTACTTGATTAGCTTTTTGCAGCAAGGCATTATTTAAATATTAGGTGAAATTACAAATGGTTCGCACTTACAGTCTTCCAT